TAAAAGTCTCATAATTGTTCATTGAATCTTGTGCAGACTTCACACCTGTGTAGACGAGCTTCTTATCACTGAAAACCGCTTCAAATCATGAACTTGCTGGTCTATAATCTTCAGCTTATGTCTTCGACATCGCTGAAGAATCTGTGGTGTGAGTCTTGTCTTCTTGAAGTATATCGGTCTCTGAACGAGTTACAATACATGTTCAGCGATCACTGAACAGACTCAGTGATGATCGCTGAAACTGAATACAGAGAAAATACACTTCAATAGATAAAAGTGATCATCATCATCAAATCATTGAGAGAGAGGATCAACATAATCGCTATTTGTCATTATCTTTTCTTATTATAGAATTTAATGTTTTTTTTTCAGGAGATGTCATTCCGAAAGCGCAGTAGAGGCCATCATGGTAGTAGAGGTAGCCCCATGTCTGGTAGGGGCAACAACTCTGCTGGCGGGCGTGGCGACCTGTGCGCCGATGACATTGTGGAGTTCATGAAGAACGACCTTCAAGATATAGATGAATAAGAGGTGGAGGCCCCAGCTTTGACTAGTTCAGGGTCAGGGAGAGTCCCCAACCATGAGATGTCGACACTTAGTCATCCGAGCTAGCGACCATATCTTTATTTTTTAAGCAACGGGTAAGAAGATGTGGTATAAGACTTTGTATTAAACAATAAAATAATATGAATGTCTTTTGTGTTGTATATATTGTTTTAATTGTGCATGTTTAAATATGCCCATGTTAGCCGGGAGGTGACGGCTATATTCAAGTCTTCCTTTGTTGTTTTATGGCATAGATGGAAGGAAGTCCCCCGAGAAGCCTGCGACTTGATGTTCCAGCACTTTCGGGTTGGTGTACCATTTTAATGTTACTATACATATAAGGTTATTGTTTTACATTGATAAAAATATTGTGTATGTAGGCTAAGTTCCAGTTGGAACCAGAGCTGGATGACATGTTTCGTGATTTATGGACCAAAGTCATGCATAATAGGTACTTAGAATGGATGAGCACTGCACGTGACTAGGCCATGGCACATGCCTATCCTGGTGCTCAGCAATAGCACGGTGAGGAATTCTCATGGATTAGATTACACCATCCTATATGGATCCTAGAGAGGTTTTGGATTCAGATGATTGACCAGGTATGTATCTCTATTGTGAGCTTTATGAATTACCATGTGTTTTGTACCGTCTTATGTGTGTGTTCTATTTTTAACAGGTTTAGGATACCGACCCTTGGAAAATGAAATCCATGATCAATAGGACCAATCGAACACAAAGTTTGAGGGGGTGTCGTCCAGGCACACCGGGGGATCGATCAGTATTGCACAACATCGAGATAGCATGGTGAGTSTATAGTGTATAATTCGTTTTTTATGATTACTAACAACCTAACCTAATTGTCTAATGTAGGCACAGGTATTGGGCCATGAGTCGACTGCTACTAAGGTGTTTGAACGCACTCACTACACGAATCGGATATTCGATCAAGGTTCTTTTGGCCCGCCTACTGATCCTTCTTAGTTCAGTTACCCCAAAGCTGCTAGGTATCAAGTAAGTTTAAGAAGATATATTTTAATACACATAGTGATGCTATTAGTTTGGGCTGCCATTGTTGGGTAGACGTTAGGCTAAGTAGAATGGTTGAGAATGTGACTACCATTGGGATTTAGAATGCTTTAGTTGTAAAAACAGGCATTAGATATGTTTGATTTATAGTTGTTATGCTGCTGAAATTTCTACATATAACCTCACCCGTTTTGGTGTTTGTGAACCATAGGAGCGATTTCAATCGTTACGGGGTGAGTCACAGTCTAGTACCGACACCCCTCCCCCTGATGTGGCATCTCTTTGGAGCAAAGTGTTGGAGGACAGACGAAGGGCTGCATCTTTGGCTTCAAAACCTCCCAAGATCCCTCTTATGCTATGACGGGTAGATGTAGCAGTAACACCAGGAAATCATACAAGTCAACAACAGAGGTATGTTGGTTATATTGTTATATACTGTTTCATTACTTTCATTGCAAACAAATTACTAATTTTTTTGAATATTGAATATTTATAGGTAGCGGAGTTGAGAGAGAAGTTGACAAGGGTAGAGGAGGAACTGGAGACCGAACGGAAGAGTAGGGGCGGATTTGGAGGCCGAACAGGCCAAACATGCTGCTACATTAGCCAAATAGGTCGCCTTATAGGAGCATTTTTTTTACATTTATGTGGCAGTCAGAACACGTTTTCCCCCTCCCCTACCTCCCGATAGTTAGATTGTATTTTAAATTTTATGAATTGGATATTTTTAAATTGTATGAATTGGTTAGTTTTAATTTGTTCATAGTTTTGGTTTGTTATTTTATTGCCGGATTTTGTATAAATAAATACATGAATTATGTAATTATAAATTATTTATTTTTAGATTAATAAACATCAGCAAGGGATTAGCGAGGGAAAATCCTTCGCTAAAAGTCCCTCATTGATCTGTCGTTGAAAGATTTCTTCACTGATTCGTCGCTGAAAGTCTCCCTCGTTGATCCGTCGCTGAAAAGTTCCCTTGCTGATATGTTGCCGAAAGTTTCCCTCGTTGATCCGTCCTTGATCCACCGCTGAAAGTTTCCCTCACTGATCCGTCATTGAAAGGTTCCCTCATTGATCTGTCACTGAAAATCTCCTTCGCTGACTCGTCACTGAAAGTTTCCCTCGTTGATCCGTTGCTGAAAGATTCCTTCGCTGATCCGTCGCTTAAAATATCCGTTGCTGATCCATCGCTGAAAGTTTCCCTCGTTGATCCGTCGCTGAAAGTTTTTCTCATTGATCCGTTGGTACATTCTGTCATTGATAACCTTACCTATGAGCTTTTAAGCGACAGACTATCAGCGACGGAAGACCTCTTTAGTGACGGATCAGCGACGGAATTTTCCATCGCTGATACTCTTCATTTTTGTAATGGTTTTAGATATGATTATTTTTATCCATGTTTTTGACGTTGTTTTTGGTGTATGTATGTACCAATGACTTGATGTTTCAGATGTTGACTATTATCCATATTTTGTTGCTTTGGATACTTGAGTTTTATCCATGTTTCCGATATTTGAATATTAAACTTCATTTACGTTGCGTGAGTATTGGGTTTTGGTTTTCTATTAAAATGGTCGTTTGGATTATTAAGTTTTCATCACGAAGATGGCGGGTTTTGGAAAGATGTTGCTTTTACGATAAAGACATTTCATTTGAGAAACTATGATTTAAATAAGCAACATTTCAGTTTTACCGTTTTGTAATTATGATGAAAACTGCTCGAACTCAGTAGGCCGTAAGCCTAACATTTTTTTTTCTTATCGACATGTACATCAGGTTCTCATGGGGGACGGTATTAGTGACATTTGAGCAAAGTCGAGTACTAGTTAGAAACTGATGAAAGACTTAAATATGTGGGATATTATCGTACCGTTGGAGATATCGGCTTTTGGTGAGAGTTATAGTAACACCTGTCTTATATTATCTAGTTTATTTTTACGTTAGATATTAAGTCGTTGACTTGGGCTTTATTATATCCTTGTATGTAAGTATACAAAAGTTTCAAGAGGAACTATATTGACTTTAGTGTTTTGACGGAAATTTTAATTTAGTGGTTGTTTCCAAATTTTGGGGTGTTACAATATATGCATAATATGACATTTGGTTTAATTGATCGCTATCACCTGCCACCACCACCACCAACAACCACCGCGAACCACATGTACAATCACCACCTCCACCTCCTCCACCTCCATATCCACCACTATCGGTTGCCACCACTATCTACCATCTATACGTCCCACAACCACGATGTTAACCACAATGACCATCAACCACCGCCCATCCTATCACCACCACAACCGACGACCACCTCCACTACCATCAGCTACCTACCACCGTCCATCACCACCTCTACCTCCACCATTATCATTGCCACCACCGTCAACCATCTTTTCTCCGCACACCAGTAACCATCATATAAAATCGTTTAACAAAATTTAGGGGAACTTGTCCAGCTTGGTCTTGTCTAGTTCTAATCGTAGTAAAAGCATACAAATAACTTGTCCTCTTCAGTACTATCCATTCATTTTCTCTTCTCCAGTCTAGTCAAACTACATACCAAACTCTATCAAAATTATGTTTTAGATCAAGTAATTGCTTAGATATTGCTCAATACAACAAAATTACGTTATAGGTTTATAGGACGTTTTCGGACGCCATAACAAGTTTTTTAGGACACTTTAAACATAAAACGTCGTATTAACTATTTTATAGGACAATTTTGAGAAGTGTCCTATAAACACATCTTTTTATAGGACGCTTATTTTTATACAACATTGTTTCAAATAGTATCCTATAAAATAACTAATACGATATTTTATTTTAAAAATGTCCTAAAAAGTTTGTTAAGACACTTAAAAGCGTCCTATAAACCTTTTACAACACCTAGATAGGACACTTTAGTGTTTTGTCCTATAAAAACGGTCTATTAGAATAGTTAATCAATTTTGACGTCCAATAAACCTAATCTTTTGGTAGTGGCTCCATGATGGGCTTCACGTGGTGGATGCAATATATCAAGTTGTCTTAATATTTTTTCTTCAGATTTATAAGAAAGTTTTAATTACATCTCGTTGCATTATGTGATACATTCTAATCAAGATTTCATAAGTTATATGTTTAACTTTACAAAGCAATGAAAATCGATGAAATGGACGGTGTTTGTTTTCTTTCTTATTATAAAAACATCATATGATCTGTTAAGACTTAATTATCACCAACCATCATCGCCAGATAAATGGTAAGAGTATGCTTGTGACGTGGGTTACCATAAACACTACTCTTCATTGACCTTGCTTTAATTTGCACTTAAAATCGACGAGAATCAAACCATACTTCTTGGAACAAATGAGTATTAAATATCAAAGGGTTGACATTTTCATGAGATTAGAGGAGCAAAGAGGCTATAAATACACCATACCAGTTCAACATTTTCAAACTCAAGAATTCACTGTAAACCTTCTTCTTCTTTGAAAATGGCGATTCCAGTTATTGACTTCTCAAAGCTGGATGGCGAAGAGAGAGCTATGGCATTGGCTCAGATAGCAAATGGATGTGAAGAATGGGGATTCTTTCAGGTACCAATCTAGCATATAATTTTTTAATAAGTTCAACAAATATATATATATATATATATATATATATATATATTTTATGGTTCCCATTTGTTATGGTCATATATATATATATATAAAGAGAGGGGGAAGGTTCAAACGAGAACGCTAACTATTTAATAAAACAAGAAAAATATCGTTAACGTACAAAATCACATGTGATTTTGTAGTAAATGGAAGCAGACGACTTTTGAGACCACTTAAGTCGCAGCGTAAAGTCGTTTAGATCATGTATGATTTGTTACGTAAATCATATATGATTTTGTACGTTAACGATTTTTTTTATTGTTTTTCTTAAATAGTTAGCGTTCTCGTTTCAACCTGCCATATATATATATATATATGTACACATGTATATATATGTATATATATATATATATGTATGTATGTATGTATATATATATATATGTTCACTGAGATAAGCATTGTGTCAATAGTTGGTGAATCATGGGATCTCGGTGGAGCTTCTGGAGAGGGTGAAAAGGGTGACCTCCGAGTGCTACAAGTTAGAGAGGGAAGATAAGTTTTTCAAGAAGTCAGCACCAGTAAAGCTGTTAAAGGAGTTGGTAGAAAAGAAAAGCGGAGACAAGCTCGAGAACATCGACTGGGAAGATGTATTCCTCCTCTCCGATGATAACGAATGGCCACCAAAGACCCCAGGATTCAAGTAAGCATCAACACTACATATTTTTTCACGAAAAGACTATTTGAACATCAAGATTTCATATCAAACTTATAAACAAAACTAAAAAAACAGGGAAATCATGACCGAATACCGAGCAGAACTGAAGAAACTGGCAGAGAAGCTAATGGAAGCCATGGATGAAAACTTGGGCATACCAAAAGGGTACATTCAGAAGACTTTTAATGGTGGAGATGGAGAAAAGGCCTTCTTTGGGACGAAGGTCAGCCATTACCCACCTTGCCCTCATCCGGAGATGGTGAATGGTCTGCGGGCACACACTGATGCTGGAGGTGTCATACTTCTATTCCAAGATGATGAGGTTGATGGGCTGCAAATTCTTAAAAACGGTGAATGGATCGACGTTCAACCAATACCGAACTCTATTGTGATTAATACGGGTGATCAAATAGAAGTATTGAGCAACGGAAGATACAAGAGTGTTTGGCACCGCGTTAACGTGATACCGAACGGTACTAGGAGATCAATAGCTTCATTCTATAATCCTTCCTATGATGCAACCATAGAACCTGCAACCCAACTCATCAAGAAAGAAAACAAAGAGGTTAAATACCCCAAGTTTGTGTTTGGTGACTATATGTCTGTCTATACTAAACAAAAGTTTCTTCCAAAAGAACCGAGGTTCAAAGCTGTGAGAACTGTGTGAATGGCAACTTCAAAGAACTAACCAACGTCACACTATCTTTTCTTCTCTTCTCCAAGTTAACTTGAAGGATAGTGCACAAAGTTTTATTGGCCATTTTATTGTACTTAATTTCTGCGTAATTAGAAATCTTTCTGGATGTAAAACGTACCGAGTGACGTACGTAACTTGTAAGGATAGCATATTGATGGCTTTTGGTGATCCAAACAAATTAATACCAAATATTATATTCAAATCTATCGTTGACCTTTAGTTAATTACTTCAGTAATTAATCTCTTTGTATTTATTTATTAACTGCAATCAAGAAGTAGGGAAGACATGGGGTGGGTCTTGGATCTAGAGTTTGTCTAAGCTTTCTTCGATTATTGATTTAACCCCTCTATATACATAGGAGTTAAATTAACTAACACAAAAATATTACAAATTCGTATCACTACAAAAAAGAGGAGTATCCGCTGGAAAATTCCATCGCTAAAGGCATGATTCGTCACTGATCTGTCGTCCCGTCTGTCGGTTAAAAGCTAGTAGGTAATGTTATCAGTAACGGATCAGCGACGGATAGTATTTGCGATGGATTAGCGATGGATACTTTCAGCGACAAATACTTTCAGTGTGACGGATTAGCGAGAGAAATCTTTCAGTGACGGAACCTTTCAGCGAAGATAGTTGCAGCGACGGATAATTTTAGCGACGGATTGGCGAGGGACCAAAAACTTTTAGCGATGGATATTCCGTAGCTAATTCATTGCTAATTTTTAATAACTTCAAAATAAATAATTTATAATTACATAATTCCTATATTTACACTACTAGAAAACCAGGTATCATCGACGAATATCAGCGAGGGAAATTTTCCCTCGCAGATCAGCGAGGGAAATGCCAAAAAACTCATTCCCTCGCTGATCCCTCGCTGATCTGCGAGGGAAATTCCAAAAAAATAATTCCCTCGCTGATCCCTCGCTGATCTGCGAGGGAAAATTTCCCTCGCTGATCAGCGAGGGATTAGCGAGGGAAATTCCAAAAAATTAATTCCCTCGCTGATCCCTCGCTAATTTGCGAGGGAAGTTTCTTCTACAAAATCCCTCGCTGATCCCTCGCAAATCAGCGATGGATCAGCGAGGGAAATGACAAAAATTCAGAATCCCTCGCTGATTTGCGAGGGATCAGCGAGGGATTTTTCTATTTTTCATATTTTCTCATTTTTATGTATTATATGTACATATTTTTATGTGTTGATATCGTATGTATTAATGTCATGTGTTGTTTGTGTGTGTGTGTGTATATATATATATATATGTTGTGGTTGCTAACCGCGATATATGCATGTGTTATAAGTATATATACCCGTCGTGAGGGAAAATGATATACATTCACATATACACATACGTTTAAACATATATATATTCATCCATCCAATCGTGGTTAGCAACTAGTACACATCGTGTATATATGTGTATATATAAATGACCGACGGGTATATATACATATAACACATACAACGTCGTGTGAACATATATGTTTATAACACGGGCTAACGGGTATATATACTTATAACACATGCATATATATATATATATATATA